CTGATCCTGATCCTCCATGGCTAGCTGCAAGAACTATGTCAAAACTGCCACAGGTGACAATCAGGCAAGAGGAGGTGGATTTCCTTCTTAAACTGCTTGACCAAGAAAAGGCTGTGGACCCAGACAAGTTGAGCCCAAGATTTTTGAGATGTGCAGACCAGCTAGTAGCACCTCTAACTCACATCTTTCAGCATTGCCTAGTACAGGGTAAATGGTCTTCTCTGTGGAAAGAGGCAAATGTAGTCCCTGTTCACAAAAAGAAGAGCAGAGCAGAAATCAGCAACTACAGACCAGTGTCACTCCTGTCAATCGGTGGCAAGATCCTTGAGACAATAACATCAAGATAAATGACAGTTCTTTGACTACCACTCACTACTTTGTGACCATCAATATGGCTTCAGGAAAGGCTGCTCTGCTGCTGATCTGTTGTTAAACCTCTCCACTAAATGGCACCAGTCCCTGGATGAATCCAAAGTCAGCTGTGTGGTAGCACTGAGAATTGCAGGCTCTATGCTATGTCTCCTCAGTGATTATCTTCATGGTAGATCTCTTAGGGTAGTTCTCAATGGAAGAGAATCACCAAGACATCCTATTGGGGCAAGTGTTCCACAAGGAAATATGCTGGGACCATTGTCATGGAACATCTACTTCAATGACCTTCATCTCATCCCAGAATCCCATGCATATGCAGAAGACTGTGCTCTGACATTCACTTATCCAAGAGAAGAAACTTTAAGCTACACCAATCACCAGCTAAGAGCTATATCAGCTTGGGGAAACAGATGGCAAGTAACATTTGCACCTGGGAAAACACAAATGACGATGGTCTCTAGGCACCATGATGATAATGCCAGTGCAATAGTAAGTATGACAGGAGGGTGTTGGTACCTGGGGAAGAAGTTGATATCATTGGGGTGAAATTTGACTCCAATCTGTCCATGAAGAACCACATTGTAAATCTTATAAACAAGGCAGCCAAGAAGCTTCTAGCACTTCACTGTATCTTACATCTGCTTGACAGTAGGGGTTGCAAGATTCTGTATGAGGCACAAGTATGCTCACACCATGAGTATGCTCCACTTTCTTGGTTTGCCTGCCCCCCCCCCCTCTCATTTGCGACTGCTTGACAGAGTAGAGATCAGAGCAAGGCGTCTTATCTCTTACCTGGATCCATCCTGGATAGATCTGTCATTTCAGCAGAGTCTTCAACACAGGAGGGATGTGGGTGGCCTTACTGTTGTCAAAGTACCACACTGGGATCCACTTCGAGGACAGTGAGAAGAAAGCTTCTATACCACAAGACGGACAGAAAGTAGCAACTTCATTCTGGCTGTACCCTTCTCCAGAACATCACTTCACCTGAGATCACTTATCCCCAGGATGACTCAAGTATGGAACACATTCATAAACCATTATGATGTCAACGAAATAAAGCCAGTTGATCAAATGAAAATGCTGGCCCACAGATGGCTCCAACTTCATCCTGTTTCCTACTTGTATGTCTCATAACAATAAAATGCTTTCAAATGAGCTGATGTAGGCAACAGCTCTTAGCTTGTCAATAAAGTTAGGAATCCTTAACTTGTAAATAGCTTGTCAATAAAGCTAGGGATCCTTAATAACCCAGTGTAAAAAAAAGAGAGACAGACAGAGAAATGGAGGAGAATAATGATTATCACAGGTACTTGAATGGAGGCTTTGAAAGAAAGCCAAAATAAACGAGTAGTTTGCATGAATTTCAGTAAGGTATTTGGCAAATATGATCAAGGAAATAAAATAAGGCCATTAGGCATAACAGGAACTAAGCAAAATCTCTCCTTAGCAACAGCAAAATGATCAGTAGCTCAAGGCACAGTCCTGGTGGCTATACTATTTCCTCATCCTCATAAACAATATTGACAAAAATATTAGCACAGTTTCCCTAGGTAGTAGGTTGGTAGATAGCAATCGCCCAGGGAGGTACAACCGTCCTGCCAAGTGAGTGTAAAACGGAAAACTGTAATTGTTTTACATGATGGTAGGATTGCTGGTTGTAGGTAGTAGGTTGGTAGACAGCAACCGCCCAGGGAGGTACAACCGTCCTGCCAAGTGAGTGTAAAACAAAAGCCTGTAATTGTTTTACATAATGGTAGGATTGCTGGTTGTAGGTAGTAGGTTGGTAGACAGCAACCGCCCAGGGAGGTACTACCGTCCTGCCAAGTGAGTGTAAAACGAAAGCCTGTAATTGTTTTACATAATGGTAGGATTGCTGGTGTCCTTTTTTCTGTCTCATAAACATGCAAGATTTCAGGTACGTCTTGCTACTTCTGCTTACACTTAGGTCACACTACACATGTACAAGCATATATATACACACATCCCTCTGGGTTTTCTGCTATTTTCTTTCTAGTTCTTGTTCTTGTTCTTGTTTATTTCCTCTTATCTCCATGGGGAAGTGGAACAGAATTCTTCCTCCGTAAGCCATGCGTGTTGTAAGAGGCGACTAAATTGCCGGGAGCAAGGGGCTAGTAACCCCTTCTCCTGTATAAATTACTAAATTTAAAAAGAGAAACTTTTGTTTTTCTTTTTGGGCCACCCTGCCTCGGTGGGATACGGCCGGTTTGTTGAAAAAAGAAAAAGGATTGCTGGTGTCTTTTATCTGTCTCATAAACATGCAAGATTTCAGGTACATCTTGCTACTTCTACTTACACTTAGGTCACACTACACATGCATGTACAAGCATATATATACACACCCCTCTGGGTTTTCTTCTATTTTCTTTCTAGTTCTTGTTCTTGTTTATTTCCTCTTATTTTCATGGGGAAGTGGAACAGAATTCTTCCTCCATAAGCCATGCGTGTTGTAAGAGGCGACTAAAATGCCGGGAGCAAGGGGCTAGTAACCCCTTCTGTATAAATTACTAAATTTTAAAAGAGAAAGTTTCGTTTTCTTTTTGGGCCACCTTGCCTCGGTGGGATACGGCCGGTTTGTTGAAAAAAATAAATAAATAACACAGTGTCATATCATCCTCTGCATACGATACCAAAATAAGCTTAACTGTCACTTCGGCAGAAGACACAGAAAACTTGCAAGCAGATACAAATAGTGTCTTTCAGTGATGCTCAAAGGTGACAAAATCCAAATGCTCAAATAAGAAAAAATGAAGAACTCAAAAGGAGCACTCAGACACAAAACACAGGAGGACCAGTTCTTAAAACAAAAGTAACATGTAAAAGACTTGGGTATAATAATATCAGATGGCCTATCATTTTTTTCATTTTTTATTTTTCATTTTTTTATTTTTATTTTTTATATTTTAAAGAACACAAAAAGATAAATGCTAAAAAGACCAGACAAGCGACAGGATGAATAATGAGAACTTTCAGTACAAGAGTAATACTGCCAATGGTGACAATATTCAAATCTTTTGTGCTCTCACATTTAGAATATTGTTTTGTGTTAACCTCTGTTCAAAGAAGCTCATTTACTGCCTGCATAGAGCTAATAAGGCATATGAACTACTAGGAACACCTCAAAGTATAGCACTCTATCTGAAATGTACTTTCTAAAGAAAAGAAGAGAGATACTTGATAATATACAGAGCAAGCCCTCTTATATGAGGCTTCATACAGTGCAATTTTTTTGCAATGCAGCTGAAAAGAGTGTAACCAATTTTCATAGCACAATAAAAATCTTGATATCATGTGCAATATAATATGAAAAAATTAGCATAGCATCAAGTTTTTTTTTTTTAACACATCGGTCGATTCCCACCAAGGCAGGGTGGCCTGTAAAAGAAAAACTTTCATCATCATTCACTCCATCACTGTCTTGCCTGAGGCATGCTTTACACTACAGTTATAAAACTGCAACATTAACACCCCTCCTTCAGAGTGTAAATACTGTACTTCCCATCTCCAGGACTAAAGTCTGACCTGCCAGTTTCTCTGAATCCCTTCATAAATGTTACTTTGCTCACACTCCAACAGCATCAAGTTATGTGCAAAATCTGAGTACTACACACCGTGAAAGTTGGGACTAAGAGTTCAGTGTTTGGAGAGGAACAGCTCCTCCCTTTCTTAATCCCAACCAATATGCCTGTAGTTGCTCTATGGAACCATCTTGTACATACAATGTTTATCAAACAATTTTGGATATTTTCATTACCTCATGTCATCTCTGAACACTGACAATAGTACCCACAGAGGAATATTAGTGGTGCTAGAGGAGACAAGAGATGCAGACCAGAGATACTTCAGTACAACCATTAATTACTGATAACTATGCATTCACATCAATGAATGAACTACAGCCATCCACCTCAGCCCAGTAGAACCCCATCAACCCAATCTGTACACTTCCACATCAACAAGTTACAACTAGAAAGTAAGGGAAATTGAAGAAATTTTCACCTGGTACAGTATTAAAAAAGCTGTTTTGCATATCTGGAGTGTCTGGAACATAATCCTTTTTTTTCCCCCAAATGTTTTTTACTTCTCATAGTGTTAATTTTCGTAAAGCACTCATTTTCAGGAAAGTATTCCTTGCACTGAGGAGAGGGGAGTGGGTTATTACACATGGAAGATACTTGAGTGCCTAGTCCCAAATCTACACATTACCATAACAATGCACTCAAATGAGAGATATGGGAGGAAGCATAAAATGAATCCAGTGAAAAGCCAAGGTACCATGGACACAGTAAGAAAACACTCTGTCAACATCCAGTCCAAAACTATACAACTTGTTACCAACAGATATCACAAATATTTCCTACAAAGGTATACAAGCCCTCAAGAAGAAACTGGACTACTACCCAGTGAAATGCCAGATCAACCAGGCACTGATGTTATCTGGGCCAGTGGGTTGTCATCAGCAAGACACTAACTGATCAGTGTAAGACCAGTCAAAATTTATATTATAGCTGAGGTTCAGCTCTCTTGTCAATTAAACCAGGGGTTTACTTATTAACAAATCCAACAAAATTTTAATTTAAAATCATTTATATAAAGCCTTTACTAACCTTTGGTGAAGGACTAAAAAACAAATTATTAAGATTTTCAACATTAAAGAGAGTATCTTCTTTGCTTGTAATATAGCCTGTTAAAAGGGGAGACACCTCATCTCCAAACAGTGCTTGTGAATCCTTCCAGATCTGACGTTTCACTTCAGTGTCACATGCTTCGTATAATTCTCTATCTCGTACCTGAAGAAAATAAGTCATTATGTGGATAGCAGTAACCTATTGTAAAAACAGCCCAACATAATATAAACCATTCTATTTACTTATTCATTAACTTTACTCCTATGTTTACTCCAAGTCAAATAAAATTAAAAGGCAACACAAGAAAATAAGATAATCTTGCTCTAATTAATTAATTGCTTTTGAATGAAATAAACTATATTATGATGTTTCTTAGCATTCAAAGCTTCACTTAGAAGATACATGATCTTCATTTTTACATAAGACCTTAACAAAAACAACAACTAGTCAAATGCATATTATGAACTGTAGCAAACTGGTATGAAGTTCTCAGCCAGATATTTACGAAACTACAATAATCATTATGATTTTTTTATTAACACATCAGCCATTTCCCACCAAGGCAGGGTGACCTGAAAAAGAAAAACTTTCATCATTCACTCCATCACTCTTGCCAGAAGCATGCTTACATTACAGTTATAAAACTGCAACATTAACACTCCTCCTTCAGAATGCAGGCACTGTATTTCCCATCTTCAGGACTCAAGTCCGGCTTGCCAGTTTCCCTTCATCCCTTCATAAAAATGTTACCTTGCTCACACTCCAACAGCACGTCAAGTCCTGAAAACCATCTGTCTCCATTCACACCTGTCTGACACGCTCGCGCATGCTTGCTGGAAGTCCAAGCCCCTCGCACACAAAACCTCTTTAACACCCTCCCTCCAACCTTTCCTTGGCCGACCCCTACCCCACCTTCCCTCCACTACAGATTTATACACTCTTGAAGTCATTCAATTTCATTTAATCCTCTCTGCATGTCCGAACCAACTCAATAACCCCTTCTCAGTTCTCTGGATAATAGTTTTGGTAATCCCACACCTCATCCTAATCTTCAAATTACAGATACTCTGCATTATATTCACACTACAAATTACCCTCAGATATGACATCACCACTGCCTCCAGCCTTCTCCTTGTTGCAACACTGACCAGCTATGCTTCACACCCATATAAGAGCATTGGGATAACTATACTCTCATATATTCCCCACTCTGCTTCCATCTATAAAGTACTTTGTCTCCACAGACTCCTCAGCGCACCACTCACCTTTTTCCCCCTCATCAATTCTATGATTCACCTCACCTTTCATAGACCCATCTGCTGACACGTCCATTCCCAAATATCTGAAAACATTCACCTCCTCAATAAGTTCTCCCTTCAATCTGATATCCAATCATTCATTATCTATTTTTTTTTATCCTCATAACCTTACTCTTTCCAATATTCACTTTTAATTTCCTTCTTTTACATACCCTACCAAACTCACCCAAAAACCTCTGCAACTTCTCTTCAGAATCTCCTCCCAAAAGCACAGTACCATCAGCAAAGAGCAACTGTGACAACTCCCACTTTGTGTTAAATTCTTTATCTTTTAACCCCATACCTCCTGCAACACCCAAGCATTCACTTCTCTTACAACTCCATCTATAAATATATTGAACAGACACGGTGACATCACACATCCCTGTCTAAGGCCTACTTTTACTGGAAAATAATCTCCCTCTCTCCTACATACTCTAACCTGAGCCTATCTTCAAAAAAACTCTTCACTGCTTCCAATAACCTACCTCCTATTCTATACATTTGCAACATCTGCCACATTGCCCCCTTATCCACTCTAACATACAACTTTTCACTTTAAACACTTTGCCTACACAACCCCTATCCTTCCTAAAGCCTCCTTGTTCATCTGCTATCCTGCTCTCCATCTTACTCTTAAATCTTTCAATACTAACTCTACCATACACTTTATCAGGTATACTCAACAGACTTATTCCTCCGTGTGTGATGAATGGTTTTGAAAACCGACAAGTTGAAGCATTGAGACACTTATGCAACATATGGGAATCTTTACTGAAGAAACGTTTTGCCACACTGGCTTCATCAGTTCAATACAAAGTAGAAATGGGTAAGGAGAGGAGGAGATTGAGGTAATCAGTCCCTCAGCCTGGAATCGATGTGTTCAGTCCATCACTCTTGTAGGAAGTACAGTACAGAGCCAGAGAGGTGGCTTATATACTGCAATCAGGTGAGTCGAACCAGGAGGTGGGATCACAGTGGGACCTTCCACTAGTGCAAGTAGGTCGTCGTCCAAATGTTGGACAAGCGTTAAGAGACTGATTTCTTCAGTAAAGATTCCCATATGTTGCATAAGTGTCTCAATTCTTCAAGTTGTCGGTTTTCAAAACAATTCATCACATCTGTCAGACACTGCAACATCATGGGATCTTGGTACAAAGACTTCTTCAACGCTTGTCCAACCCTTGGATGACGACCTACTTACACTAGTGGAAGGCCCCACTGTGATCCTGCCTCCTTCCTGCTTCGACTCACCTGATTGCAGTATATAAGCCACCTCTCTGGCTCTATGCTGTACTTCCTACAAGAGCGATGGAATGAACACATCGATTCCAGGCTGAGGGACTGATTACCTCAATCTCTTCCTCTCCTTACCCATTTCTACTTTGTATTGGACTGATGAAGCCACTGTGTGGCAAAGTTTCTTCAATAAAGATTCCCATATGTTGCATAAGTGTCTCAATTCTTCAGACTTATTACCCTATAATTTTTGCACTCTCTTTTATCCCCTTTGCATTTATACAAAGGAACTATGCATGCTCTCTGCCAATCCCTAGGTACCTTACCCTCTTCCATACATTCATTAAATAATAACACTAACCACTCTAAAACTTTTTCCCAACCTGCTTTTAACATTTTTATCTTTATCCCATCAATCCCAGCTGTTGTACCCCCTTTCATTCTACCCAATGCCTCATGCACTTCCCCCACACTCACAACTGGTTCTTCCTCACTCCTACAAGATATTATTTCTCCTTGCCCGATACACAAAATCACAGCTTCCCTATCTTCATCAACATTTAACAATTCCTCAAAATATTCCCTCTATCTTTCTGATACCTCTAACTCTCCATTTAATAACTCTCCTCTCCTATTTTTAACTATCAAATTAATTCATTCCCTAGGCTTTCTCAACTTATTAATCTCACTCCAAAACTTTTTCTTATTTTCAACAAAATTTGTTGATAACATCTCACTCACTCTTTCATTTGCTCTCTTTTTGCATTGCTTCAACGCTTTCTTAACCTCTCTCTTTCTCTCCATATACTCCTCCCTCCTTGCATCACTTCTACTTTGTAAAAACCTCTCATATAACTTTTTCTCTCGTCCTTGCACCAATCGCTTTTCTTCCCTCCTGCACCCACTTTCTTGTAACCACAAACTTCTGCTGAACACTCTAATACTACATTCTTAAACCTACCCCATACATCTACTACCCCATTGCCTATACTTTCACTAGCCCATCTATCCTCCAACACTTGTTTATATCTTACCCTAACTGCCTCCTCCTTTAGTTTAGAAACCTTCACATCTCTTACTTGCTGCTTCCATTTTCCTTGTATCTCATCTACCTTTTACTCTCACTGTAGCTACAACTAAAAAGTGATCTGATATATCTGTTGCCCCTCTATAAATACAGTGGACCCCCGCATAACGATGGCATCACATAGCGATTAATCCGCATACCGCTTACTTTAATCGCAAAAATTTTGCCGCGCATACCGATTAAAAACCCGCTCACCGATTTTCGTCCGAGACGCGTCCAATGTGCGCCCTCAGCCAGCCTCACATGTGCCGCCCGTGCCATTGTTTACCAGCCAGCCTCCGCGGTAACATCCAAGCATACACTCGGAATATTTCGTATTATTACAGTGTTTTCGGTGCTGTTTCTGGAAAATAAGTGACCATGGGCCCCAAGAAAGCTTCTAGTGCCAACCGTACACCAATAAGGGTGAGAATTCCCATTGAAATGAAGAAAGAGATCATTGATAAGTATGAAAGTGGAGTGCGTATCGCCGACCTAGTCAAGTTGTACAAGAAACCCCAATCAACCATCGCTACTATTGTGGGCACCAGAAAGACAATCAAGGAAGCTGTTCTTGCCAAAGGTTTAACTGTGTTTTTCGAAACAAAGATCGCAAGTGATGGAAGATGTTGAGAGACTCTTATTGGTGTGGATAAATGAAAAACAGCTAGCAGGAGATAGCGTCTCTCAAGCGATCATATGTGAAAAGGCTAGGAAGTTGCATGACGATTTAATTAAAAAAATGCCTGCAACTAGTGATGATGTGAGTGAATTTAAGGCCAGCAAAGGTTGGTTTGAGAGATTTAAGAAGCGTAGTGGCATCCATAGTGTGATAAGGCATGGTGAGGCTGCCAGTTCGGACCACAAAGCGGCTGAAAAATATGTGCAGGAATTCAAGGAGTACATAGACAGTGAAGGACTGAAACCTGAACAAGTGTTTAATTGTGATGAAACAGGCCTGTTCTGGAAGAAAATGCCAAGCAGGACCTACATTACTCAGGAGGAAAAGGCACTCCCAGGACATAAGCCTATGAAAGACAGGCTTACTTTGTTGATGTGTGCCAATGCTAGAGGTGATTGCAAAGTTAAGCCTTTATTAGTGTATCACTCTGAAACTCCCAGAGCGTTCAGGCAAAAGAATGTCCTCAAGGATAATTTGTGTGTGCTGTGGAGGGCAAACAGTAAGGCATGGGTCACTAGGGACTTTTTCTATAACTGGTTACATCATGCATTTGCCCCCAATGTGAAAGATTACCTAACTGAAAAGAAATTAGACCTTAAGTGCCTCCTGGTGTTAGACAATGCCCCTGGTCATCCTACAGACGTGGCAGAGCGACTTTATGGGGACATGAGCTTCATTAAGGTGAAGTTTTTGCCTCCTAATACCACTCCTCTCCTGCAGCCCATGGACCAGCAGGTTATTGCAAACTTCAAAAAACTGTACACAAAAGCTCTGTTTGAAAGGTGCTTTGTAGTGACCTCAGAAACTCAACTGACTCTAAGAGAGTTTTGGAGAGAGCACTTTAATATCCTCAATTGTGTAAACCTTATAGGTAAGG